GACTTTCTTTTGGACGAAAGACGATGAGGGCAGTCCTGACTAAACCTCAAACGAGGGATCACTAGTTTCACTTCAAAAGACTACTTTAAAACTTTTTATTTTTTCCATCTATGTCCAAAATCAAAGAATACAAATTAATATTAATTAAAAGTAGAAAATAATAAATGTCTCAAAACTATTTAATCATACTTTTCCATCTATATAAGGCATATACGCTTTATGAACAAAACAAACCAATCAATTAGCGGAGCGTTGTACAGAAGAGAAACCACGACAAAAAGTAAGGAGGTCTCTTCGTTGGAATCTAGACGCGACCGGCTCATTCAGATGTGACTAACTGTACCGTTACTGTATAATTTGCTTGTCTATTTTATTAATGGGAATAGTTTATGTGTGAAGGTCACATAGTTTTAGTAAATAAATATTAGACAACATCACGTACGTTCTGCCCTCCTTGTCCTAACTAACCCATATGCATTTTATTAATTTTCGTGATATTGGCACTTGAAAGATTTTTTTCTTTGAATAATGTTATGTACGCTGATTTTGCTTACCAATAAAACTGACACTAAATAAGATATAAGAAAACCGCTTACAGGGGGTTATAGATCTTGTTTTGTTGATTCAAGATATGTTAATTACTCAATTTCGTTAAAAATGTCGATTACGTTAGTTATGATTAGTGCCTCTACCTCTACTATACGTCGCCCCTAGAGGTCAGAAGAAGAAACAAAATTTTGTATAGTAACATTTTACGCGACCGCTAGCGATAACTGTCATTGTAATCTCATGGTAGAGGCCAAGACTGCCCGTTGCTCTGATCCCAAAGTAGCGTTACTACTAAAGCACTTGGAAATCGGAAACAACGACGGTACCACAAACACCCAGACCCGAGGCAATATAGAAAATTTAGTTTCTACATTGACTCGACCGGGGATCGAACCCGTGACCTCAGGGATGGCTACACATTGAAAACCGGTATGCAAGCCACTTGAATACGGAGGTCGTCAAAGTTAGCGTTGGTAGAGTACTATGTACTTGTTATCTTGTTTCTGACGTGAAAAGTTTTCATATTAGAAATTTGAAACCCACTTGCAAGAATAGCGGCCTATAAACAAATAATTTATTTTTTCAATTACACACACATCTGTATTGAGACTGTACTGAATTTAATTGTGAATAAAACATTGAACTGTCTTAAAATAGTGCCCTTGGTGTAATAAAGTTGTCAAAACATGTGATGTCAAAAAGTATTTTATCACACGATAGTCATAAAATAATACGAACCATTTGAAACTAATTTAATAATAATTAAATTAGTTTCAAAATTTTAATAAAATAATATAAATAAAATTGAAATAAAAGCGTTATCGACTAATTTCGTTCGTAGGATCTTTAATCCTCTCTCCTGAAAAGTTGTAATTTTGCAGTTGTGACCTTATTACATCAAAGCAGCGAAATAATCCCGCGACAATATTACGGCTTTGCGCGTCAAAGATGCCTCATTTTTTGAAACCATCTTCTTGATGTATTAGGTGTCATCGATATATCATCAAGTATAGAGTGTGACTCTTAGATGCAAGACATGGAAAATAATAAACAAAGACAAAGAGAGATTGGAGTCATTTGAAATGTGGTGCAGGAGGCGAATGGAAAGAATAAAATGGATTGAAAAGAGATCAAATGAGGAAGTTTAGGAAATGGCTGGGGAGGAGAGAAGTCTTTTGAATGCAATAGGGAGGAGATGGGGGAAAATGTTTGGACATTTGTTGCGTAATGACGAATTTTGAAGAGAATAGAAGGGAAAATAAAGAGAAGCAGACCAAGAATGGCGTATAGTGAACAAATAAAAAAGAAGATCAAAGTGAACAACTATAGAGAGGTTAAACAACTGGTTATGACCGTTAGGAGTCCACTCTTAACGGTCATAGCCAGTTCCTTGACTGAGGCTACACCAACAAGAGTCTGGTCTCTTAAATAAGATGATGATTTTCGAGACTCCTAGATCACAGAATTCTCAGTAAATTTCGAAGTGTATTGCGTTCAATATGCAATTAAGTTATGTGCGCGAAAACCGTGTTGCTTAAACGAGAAGTTCAAGTCAATTACTAATCAGAATATTTACAAGAGTTAATAAGAAAATCACTAATTGAAATGTCACGGCTGTGTCTGTGTCTCGATTTAACAAATCCAAATAAGCCTTGCCATTTACACATATTGTATGTATGTTAGTTTATAACGTTAGCATTAGTTTAGCAAATTCAAATACATCTTCATTTCATAGGTAAGCAAATTACATTGGAAATCGTCAAATTGAATGAAATGAATATTTTACTATCATGCTATTCGTTTATAGTTGGAAGAGCGATCGCCCTGGCATGATATAGACGCAGGTTCGTGTCCTGTCAGATTGAAAGAATGTTACTTTGTGTTCGATTTTTGTATTAATATAATTATAACCGCCAAATTGATTAAATCATAGGTTCCCAAACTTTCTAGCTCACCGCTCATTTAGGCAAAATAAAAAATTTCTACGTCCACCACCACAAAAAATGATTGAAAACACGTATTTTTTCATATTAACTTAACACAAAAAGTTACAAGGAAAAAAATATATTTGTAGTACAGTTTATATAGATAGTTTAGGTTTTTTTTCCAAATACGGTAGCACTCCCTGGACAGCATCAACGCCCCCCAATTGCTTCCGAGGATCCTACCCTAGGACTCTTAGGAAACTATGGATTAAACTCTACTACTTATTCTATACATTCTTTTGAGAAGAATCAGAAAGAAACTCTTGGCCTTGCTCGTCGTATATAGACATTTATTTATATTTATCATTTAACATATTTATTTACAATATTATAGATCGACACCACTTGAGAGGGATAAACGGGTCCCTAGGGGTTTTTGTCACCTAAGTAGTACGTAGAAGTTCTATAAACTTTAGTATAAAGTTTTTGTTTCGCTATAGCTTTAAACCCCGTAAACGGCAAATTTTGAACATTGATCGGAATCTACAAGCGTATACATGACCACTTTTATTTTATGATGTCTTTTTGTGTAAGAATTTCGAATCCTAGTGTTTGCTTTAGATGTAGCATTAGTTCACTTTCCACATTCTTAAATACGATCTCTAGTTTTGTTATTTGCTTCTCGGAATTCACTTTTTCTGCTCAAGCAAAAAATATGTATCATCAGGTTTTATTTATTAACATTTTTGCGCCCCATTTAAACAAGTCATTTAATCAAGCCCAATTACTTATGCATTTTATTTGGAGGAATACAATACACTAAAGTATTTGGCTACAACGGAATCTTGCCTAGCATTCGACGCCAGAAGTTTTCGTAACGCTTCGACTGGAAATTTCTTAAATTTCATGAAGTTCATTGACTGTATGACCAATCAATGATTCTTTAATGCAATCTATACAAATTCGTTTTGTACTATTTGACCAACCATTTATTGGCAAGAAGCTGTGGTAGTCTAATGGTTTGACCTATCGCCTATCAAGCAGAGGCCGTGGGTTCGAATTCGGGCTCGCACTTCCGAGTTTTTCGGAATTTATATCCCAATTTCAATTTGAAATTTACTATGAGGTTTTAGGAAACCCTACTTAATCTATCTTTCTAGTCTACATTTATGACGCAACTTCTTTGTTACAAAAGTCAAGGACCTCGGTATTTGTACCATTTCCAGTTTCTCGAAACGTGCGCGGAATTGTTCTGTATCTTCAGATAATATCTTTTTTACTCCAAAATATATGTCTTATATGCGCCGTCACGATTGTGTTATTGTTTTACTTTAGATAGTGTAGTGAAGTCATCAAATGTGCTGCCATATACGTACGAAATTGTTTACAATTGGAAGTTATTCTACAAAAGACAATGGGCAAAAAAGCACGGGACCTGGTACAACCCTCCAATAGCAATAATTTAAACGTCATTGGATAGGTATTTCTTAGTAGAACAATATTGACTATGGCGGCGTTTTTCTATTCGTTGTCCATTCGGAGTTATAGGCCGCTTTGTCCATCGATTTTGCTTGCTTATATTATATTTCTTATTTTCAAAAAAATATTGGTTATTGAACGTAGAAGGTATAAAGTAAACACAGAATAATCGTGTCACGTCATATATTGTCAACAAAATCTACAATTGCATATTATTACTAGGTACATACATAATAGGTACGTAGGTACGTACATAATCCTCTTATAAGTATTTATGTTTTATGTTTCATCCACGATTACGTCATTTAAGAAGGCTGCAGGTGCAGTAAATCCCGTGTGTCTTGCGTGTCCTAAATACCATATTATTGATAAAGTATGCGCACAAGTGCCCATGGTACGTCGTCCGGCTAAACATGTACAATAATGCTGTACTATGGGATTATTTTCATTTTCATTATTATTTACTAAAATATAACAATAGTATATTCTTGAACGCACGTGTCTTGATTGGATACGTCCACGTAATAGCCATACATCTTCATCCATCCCATAATCAGGCAAGTCATCTAAATCGTTTTCTCTATAAACTTCTATTAAGTACAAGCCGTTTCTAATGTGTTCAGCGCAGTAAGACCTTGCCAGTTTTAATTGATAAGTACCCAACGCAAAGACAATTATTTGTTCCTCTGACAATATTGGAAAGGATTCTAGCTCATTAGCTGCCAAACGTTGAAAGTTAGCCCTTCGGGAATTGAGTCGCTTCCTTTCAACATAATTATATAAAAGATTCGGCAAATCTACTTTAGCTCTTATTTGAGCTAAAAACTCTTCTGCGAGTGCATTATCTGTAATAGGTACGTGGAAGTGGTTTAAAATGGCAGCAGCGATTTTAAAATCATTGAACATACTTGGCAGCGCTCTATTAAAATATTTTTGGCGCAAAAGTTTAAAATCACGCTTAAACCTGCCATTCACCACTTCCACTACCCATCGGCACATCGTAACCGCTCGTGCGTCATTGGCTTGCTCGGTACTGAGTTGTGTCTCCTATCGAGCTTTGTTTGGAGGTACATAATATTCATAGCCATGTGCCTCTATGTCATCTAAACTATCCCTGAAGCCTCGGTCCAATATAAATGCGTCGTTTGGTTCTAAAAAAAAGTGGATTGGGTTCGTGTCATCATTCATTAAGTCTTGCATAATGTTTGCGTCAGTTTTTGTCGCGGCGTATGGCCCCTTCACATCTACTATATAGCCATCAGGACATACTATCAAAAATGGTTTCAGTAGATTTTGATATTTGTGAAGACTATAGGACTGCCGTTGAAATAAAAAGTTGGAACTTTTGAGAATGTAAATGTAAGTCCCGTCACATATCAAAATTGCTTTTGTATTTTGTTCATTGCCAAAAAGGTTCCTTGGAATAGTTAAGTTTCTCTCTAACATGTTGTTTCGGTCAATGTGATCCAATCCTAAGTGAAGGATGACATATTCATTTGTAAGGCATTCGCGTGCCTTAGATGGATGCCGCTCAAGTTGCCTTCTTGACATATTAAATAAAGTGGCTAATCTTTCATTTGGTTCTCCACTTCGAAGCTTAGTCAGGTATATGCCTAGCGTTGTTCTAGGTTGTATGCAGTTTTGAGTTAATGAAGAAGTTTCTTCCAATATGATATCCAACTGCTCATTATTGAGTCCGACCCAAAAGTGTAATTCATCGTCGGATAAAGCACCTCGCACACTAAAATCTATTCTAGTTGCGCGTTGGATAGTAGCTCTCAGAATGTCACAAATGTCACTAAACTGTGTTGCTGTAAAGCTATGAGTAACATTGCAGAATTCAGGGAGTTCTTCCCAATTATTTCCCTGCAAGTGCTCTCTGCATACTCGCGCGCCATTAGGAATGTACAATTTATACTCGCAAAATATATGCACTTTAATACACTCTGGTATTCGATGACGAGACTCGTTGACACAGTAGTTAAAAATGCAATGCCCAGGAGTGTTAGGAGCTCTAGTGTATTCGGCAACTTGAAGCTCTTGCATTGGTGGCTCCACAACATCTGGTTCTTGCATTTGATGTGGTACAGGTGGCGGCCTGATGGTATTTTCGATTCTTTGCCAGCATCGGTGGCATACACGTCGTGTTCCGTCAAATGCGACCTGAGGGTTAAAGAAAATAATTAGTTTAATACCTTTAAAGCTCGAGTTTTTTTTAGGGTTACAATTCATTTAAACCCCCATTACAAAGCAATCATAGGGTCATCGTTGCTTTTCTGTAAAGTAAAAATACGTAAATGTAAAATATTCTAAATAAAACTTACTGTTATCATATTCCTACCTATTTTTCTGTTCTAAAAAGGCCTCAATATGTATTTGTTTCAAATACACCTGGTTGTTAGCCATAACAAAAGGAGTAGCGATAACAATAGATGATAAACCCTAAAACCATAACACTCCTTTTTTTGGGCGATCGTGTAAAAATAAAACTATAAATGATAGTAAAAGCACAATATTTGATGCACACGGGATCAATACTATCGACTGAACACGAAAACATTGTGCAGTTCTATATACATGGTTTTGGCGTGTTGTGATTGACGCGAACAGGTTTTAATACTTCTATTATAAAATAATAATATTGCTGAAAGCTCAGTCGTCTTTTATGGTAGATCCATTATTTTCTATTTTTACCTAAGAGAATTAAGCCAGGTGGGTGACTTTCGCTTAAAAAAGAGCGTGAGCTTTACGTATGTATGTAGGTATTGACAGGAGATGTTTATGTAAAAAGTAGTGAAATAATAAAACAATACACAAAATATTAGACTAGGTATTTAAGTATCTACTAACCTCTAATAATGCATGTTGTTGCACGTATGACAAACTCTGGCCACGCCCTTGGAAGGTTTTCATCTAAAAAGTGTTGTTGATATCTTCCGCGGTAAAGCCCCCGTCGACACATCACACAATTGCGGGAACCTTCCATTTTTCAACAATCCAATCGATAAGCAGTTCAGACTTCCGTTAGGTAAGCCGGTAAACGTTAAAAGAGAGCACAGCACAACAATGACAAGTTCGCGAAGTATTTCAAAATCCAAGGAGAAAGCCGGGTCAAAAAGTCGTTAAAAAGAAGTGCAGGTAGGCAATTAACGAAACGTAATATCTCACACAACACCAGAAAACGACTGAATCCTGCGCGCGCGCCGAGTCGCTGCCGAGTTTTAGGGGTGGGGCGGGAGGACAATATCGGTCTCCCGGGCGCAACTTAGTATTTTTACGGAACGATAAAATTCTTGATGTTATAATGACAAGAATAATACGTATCGGTAAAAGAAAATATTAAATAAAGGCATAAAAAAACATTTTCACATTTGTAGCCATAACTCCAAACGGACAACGAATACAAAAACGCCGCCATAGTCAATATTGTTCTACTAAAAAATACCTATCTAACGATGTATATATCATTGCTATTGAGGGGTTGTACCAATCCGCCCATTGTCATTTGGTAATGGAATGTTGTGGCTGGTTTGTGTGAGTTATTCTGATGTTACAGTTATGGAATATTGCCGTAAATGAGAGCAAGCCCGCTACCTGAACTCTATGTTGCATCATAATATGCTCCTACAACTACGTTCTAGGGTAGACGTTCGCGCGTCTAAAGCACTTTAATCATTTTTAGTTCACTTATTTTGTCACGACTGTGGCGGTGCAATTACGCTTCTAAATATTGTATGAAAATTAATAGTGGCGCGTAAGCTTCAATAAGCGTTTAGTTTGAAGGCGCCTTTACTTAGACTTTTAGTTCAATTTAAATTTTGTAGTCTTTTTAATCAAGGTTATAAACGCTTCGTGTCGTCACTTTCAATTGACCGATTCCAAGTTTTGATCCGGCTAGTCGATTTTGTTGACTGGTGTAATAAAAAGCCCCTACAGTTATTTTTACCGATGTTAATAGGTGAATCAGCTGTTTAAGATTTGCATAAGATTTGCTTTTCATTAGCAGTGAAATGGGTATGTAAATGTATATTTTGATTGAAGTGTAAGTATGGTAAAGTTATGTTAAATTTATAGCAGTAATAATTGTTAAGTTACTCTCGGCACTGAATTTATGATAACGTGATATTCATCGGTTATTCGACGATTCAACATTTTTATTACTTTACATTTTTTGATAAGATTATTTATGTCAAAATTCATATTTCGTACACTTGGTTTAATGAAAATAGTACTAACTACATGAAATAAATTATGTATAAGTGAAATATTACATCCTATTTAAGCATAAAAATGTTATCGACTAATTTCGTTCACAGAATCATTAAGCCTGTTTCCTGAAAAGTTTTCATTTTGTAGATGTGGCCTTATTACACAATTTGTTGCGATTTTGACCTGTCATTGTGGTAAAAGCATTCATCAATATGTTTTTGAGTATTTTGCGGATTAGGGTGCGATGGATTAAGCTAGGGAAACTTTTTCGTGGATTTAAATGGACAGAAACAGATTCTGTACTCAGGTTAGCCTGATTATAAACCAACCTTGGAAATGGAATTATTTTTAGCGGGTCTTAATCGCGTACATTTGTTTTTTCAAACCAGCCTTTTACAGGTTCCACGTTCACGGTTGAGTGAGATAGTAAAATCATCAATAAGTAAGGTTCATTCTTGTTCTGATAAATTTCACATGGCTTCGATGTGATAGAAAGAAGATTTCAACTTCTATATCCACGCATGAATCATTCATTCCCAAAGTCCTTAATCCCTACCTCTGATGTGGTTTATTTAAGTCGTTAAAATGGTGACATCACTTTTTAGCCTAACATGATCTTAAGTGTCAAGTCCACCTTGTTCAACCAAGATTATCTCAGACCGCTAGCTACTAGTTATGATACTTGAGATCCGGCTGCGGTTACAGTATACTACAAGTTATCTGATATGAAAAATGATAAATATGAACCAAGGCAGTACGTAGTAGTAGTGGAGGAGTCTATTTGATTTAATTATGGGCAAAAAGTCAGAAAAGACGAATGAAATCGCATTTGCGTATGCTCTTCGCGAAATAAAAAAGTCCACAGATAAACAATCTGCTTTGGTGACTTATTACGCGTACGCCTACTCATGGCTTTCTTACGGCATTGTGCTATGGGGAAATAGTGTATAAGTTCCATCTTTTCTGACTCTGCAAAAGAAACTTATTAGAATAACAGGAAATATCCAACCAACAGATAGTTGTAAACCTCATATTTCGAAGTCTCAAAACTGTAACTTTGCCTTGCCTATAAATATACGAAATAAGTAAATTCGTAAAAAAAAACACCCTGAAATCTTCATAAAGCGGAAAGATACACCAGGTCATAACAATAGATTAATGTTACCTACCTCGCGACTGACTTTTCACTCCAACAGCCCCTTGGTAATGTCCGTAAAAATATTTAATGAACTGCCCAACTTCTTCAAGGAAGAAACCAATGAAAAATGCGTCATTAAAAACCATTGACTTACAATTATATTAAAAACCTAAAATAAGTGTTAATAGGACAAAAATATTACAACGTGCAAGAATATTTCCACGACACATCAAGTAAAAGTACGATAATTCAAATATATATATATATATATATATATATATATATGATATATATTATAAATAAATGGAAATAAAATAAAATTATATACAATTAATGATAAAATTATATTTTACTTTATTCAAATGTAAATAATAATTAATAAAAAAAACATAATTAATGCCATATGGTTATATTTTCTGATTTGTCCAAACTTAATCTTAATTAAGATTATGCTTTCTTTAATTTGCTATTGTACAAATATGAACTTATGTAAATATTAGAAAAAGCAACGAAACATATTATCGTGAAGAGTAAATCCTCATCTCTCTCTATAATTTGCAGTGCCCTACTGGGTCCATAATGCGCTGTTAACTTAGCTATAAGCCTTTTCCATCTATGTAACATTATGGCGAATGCAATAAAGAATTGGATTGAATTGATAAATCGCACAGACTTATGGGCCACTGCCACTGCGCCCGTCAACCTGAGATATAAGTTGACAAGTTCCAGGTACATACGTGGTAATTTAAATTTTCTTTCCTGAAGCGTCGATATAATCATTCGTGATAAGAATAAGATTGACGCAATTTAGTGTACTCAAATGAGCTGGTAATATGTGTAGATAAATTAGTAGCCACCAATACCGTTGTTAAAGGTAAGTAAAACAATGTTGATTCTACGTGAATGTTGTGCGTTAAATTGTTTCTAAAATTGATATAAACATCGTCATTTTTATTCCAATGTTAAACGTATAGCTTTATGTGTGTAAACGTGAATGGTAGTAAACAACGAAAATTAATTTTTCGTGATCTTTGCTTATTATTTTGTATATAATCTGGGTTACAATGGTAAGGATCTACAAGGACTGAGTAGATCGAATGAAATGAAAAACAGTTCGTACGTGTTTGAATACTTCCCACTTATTAATTATATAAAAATAACAGTTCGTGCAGCAGACAAATCTAGTCATGATACATTGGAACTTTGCGTCATTGAGACTAGGACCCCGATACTCGTGTGATAGAATAATCGATTTTGGCGTTCTCAGAATCACACGATTGAAATAAGTTGCCCTCGGCAATTGTCATGCAGTGAGAGGTCGGAGGCAGTGAATGTTGAGATGTCCCACGCGCGCGAAGTCTTGTGCAAACAGGAGAGGTATGTCAAAATGCTGACATAATTTTGATTTTTGGCTAAAACATTGACTATTTTGACACTGTAATAACACAGCCATGTATTCAATACATTCAGTTATCTCAATCAAAATAGAATTCTCAAGTCCCGTTGTACGAACCTTATATACGGTGGAAATTTGAGATGGGCAGGTCAAATGGTCCTAGAAGACAGTCCATGAATTTTCAAGATATTTCGATTGGAATTTATAGATTTTGAAAAAAAAATGTACAGTGACCAAGGTGAAAGGCAATTTTTCTTGCATTTTTTTTCCACGACATTCTCCTCGCTCTATTTTTGGTAGGGATAAAAATCTCAACCGATCCAACTGTATGTA